CCATTGGAATGTGATTCACGGTGGGTTTGCATGAGCCTGCCGGCCTGCACGTTAAAATAAAGGAAATGAGCTGCAGAGAGACTCAAGCGGGCCCCCCAGCCCGCGCCGCAGGTCCGGGCCCTACGCCTCCCACCAGGGCCTGGCAGTCCCCGCGAACGTCTAGCTCAATAGGAACCGCTTGGAACGGGCTGTCCCTGAGCCCAGCCAGCCGCCGCCCGGGATGAAAGCTGAGGGGAGCCGTCCAGCCCCCTGGTCTGTCCCAGGCTGATGGGCCTGCAGGAAACTCCGGGAGATTCCCGGTGGGGGGCGGGGTACAGAGGGGGGGCCCTCCGCTCACAGGCCGGCTGCTGGGCGGGACCTTCCCGCAAATGTTTTCTCCACATGGAGCCAGGCAACCTCGCTGGCGAGCCCCCAGGAAGGGGTTTGCTCACGTCCTGTCTGTCTGTCGGGGCCGCAGGCCGGGGAGACCGTCTGAGGTCGTTGTCTGGGGCGGCGGAGAGGGAGGCGGGACTCCTTCCATTTTCTATGCTGCGGGAGGAGGAGGAGGGTTGACACTCACCTGGATGCTGCTGTGACCTGTCAGGTGGGCCTGGGCCTTGGTCCCAGATCTTGGCGCTTCGGGAACTTGGAGGGAGGGAGAGACTTGAGTGCCTCCAGCATCGGCAACGTGCCCGGGGGTCTTAGCACAGCTTAAAAGGGAAGAGAAAGAGTTCATGCTCTGCATTGCAGCGGAGGCAAAGGGAGGAACTGAAACCCTTTTACAAACCGCCGCCGGGAGTGAAAGACCAGAAGGCGTCCTGCTGGCGGCTTTCAGGGAATCTGCCTTTGCTCAGGTGTCTGCTTGCCTGACCGGCCTGCAGGGGGCGGCAGCTGCCCCCAGATCAGGGAAGAGGCAGCACCCTCACCCCTGCTCACGACAGGGGCGTGTAATAGCCTCTCGGCTGCGCGGGGCTTGCCCACTGAGGTCAGGGAGAGGGAGGTTATAAACCGCTCACGGCTGCCGGTTTATAAAGAAATAAACCCACGCCGCGTGTCCTACCCACTGTGCTTCCTGGTGACTGAGGCATTGCGTGGATGCCAGAGGCTGAGTGATGCCGGGCCCGATAACGGTCACCTGCTGCCAA